CTGTCTTGGAAGAAGTACAGCCAGAATGCTCCTTGGAAGGGAGGATGGTGAGACTTCATCTCAGGTACTTTGGACATGTTATCAGGAGGGACCAGTCCCTGGAGAAAGACATCGTGCTTTAGTAAATCTACCTTAGTAGAGGGTCAGTAAAGATGAGGAAGACCGTCAATGAGATGGATTAACACTGTGGCTGCAACAGTGGGCTCAAATATAGCAATGATTGTGAGGATGGCGCAGGACCGGGCAGTGTTTCGTTCTTTTGTACAGAGGGTGGCTATGAGTCGGAACCGACTCAACAGCACCTAAAAACATGTTTAAGAGAACAAATTGCCAGTTATTCGTGGCACCTCCGAATATAGGGTGGCCAAGAATTTACTAGGCAGTGAATAAGTATACTTTTTTTAAAAAAAATTGTTGTTATTTTACACAAGAGTGAGAAAAATTACTCTCTGTCCAACTGGTTGAAATAATTTCTCATATAAGCAAGTTGTGCTACCTCATGGTTTCAACTATAATAAAAGAGGTGTTGGGGACTATCTAAATATACTATCCATAATTCTCTACAAAGCGAAACAAAAACAAAACCCATATAATTAAGAATTTTACTCTAGGCTGTTTCCAAACAAGGTATTCATACGTTTTAGCCATTTTCTAGGCCAACTAGTACAAGAAAGGAGAGAGGAATGCTAGTCAATTATCCTATATGTAACTTCAGTTTCTCCGTAGGCTTAATTCACGTTTAACCCATCGTAATGAGAGATTCACTCATTCTTCCTCTGAACTCCCTAAAATGCTCATGTTCCTGGGACAAGTGTTACACGTTCAGCAAGAATTCCCTGGCATCATCCATAATCCTATCTCAGCACAGCTATTTGATAAGGACATGAGAAGGTGTTCCATGAAGGAGGAACTCTCCTATTCTGGCATTTTGTCAGTTTAAAAAGCCAGTAATTTCTCGCTAAATGAAAGCTCCCAAGTATGAAAATTGTAATGAGTATTACCATTTGGGCCATTGTTCAGCTCCCAAAGGGCCTTGTAAATTGATGCCTGGTTGTTTTAAGAAAACAAAATTAACAAGTATCACACAAATCTTACACAAACTCTTTACAAAGAATAAAAAAAGGGAATACTTCCCAACTTGTTTTATGAGGTCAATATCTTGATAGCAAATACTGACAAAAACATTATGAGAAATAAAAATTACAGGCCAATCTTTCTCACGAGCATTATGCCAAATTCTAATGGAATGTTAGCAGAAATCCAGCAATATAATAAAACGAATGTATCAAGATCGAGTAGACTTATTTTAGGAATACAAAGTTGGCTTAATATTTTTAAAAGGTAGCACAGTGGTTAAGAGCTCGGCTGCTAACCAAAAGCTCGGCAGTTCAAATCCACCAGCAGCTCCTTGGAAACCCTTTGAAGCAGTTCTACCCTGTCCTATGGGGTTGCTATGACTCGGAATCGACTCAATGGTAACAGGTTTGGTTTGGTTTTGGTAACTAATACAATTAATAGAAAAGAAAAAATACAATTATCTCAATTAGGTGAAGAAAAAGCATTTCATAAAATTCAACACCCTTCATGATATAAAGTAAACTAGGAAGGAAGAGAATTTTCTTAGACTTTGATAGAGTATCAACAAAAAGCATGCAGCACACATCACACTCAATGGTGACATATGGAAACTTACATTCTGAGATGGGCAACAGGATAAAGATGTGCCCTCACCACTTCCATGCCATTCTGTACTGGAGTACAGGTGAAATACAGCAAGACATTAGAAAGGAAGAAGTAAAGCTCATTCTTTTCAGATGATCTAATTGTATGTAGAAAAATTCAAAATAAACTACAGATGAACTAATACATTAATAAATGGATTTAGTAAAGTTAATTAAAAACAAAAACAAAAACAAACCTCTTGCCATCGAGTTGCTTCTGACTCATAGTGACCCTATAGTAAGGTTAGATGAGATCAATATGAAGATGTATTTCTATATACCAGTAACAAATACAGTGAAATTTTAAAAAGATGTCATTAGAAATAGCATCAGAAACACTTTGCAAAAAAAAAAAAAATTATCAAAAGGAGGTGCAAGACTGTACATTGAAAACGAAGTGAAATTGCTAAAAGAAACCGAAGAACTGAAATGGGGGTGGGTGGGGGGAGGATATTCCTGTGCATAGTTTGGGAGACATTGTAAAGATGACGGTTATACTCAAATGGACTCACAGACACAATGCCATCCGAATCCAACTACCAGTTGTTGTTGTTTCTGGTGGCAATTGACCAGGTGGTTCTAAAGCTTATATGGAAATGGCAGCGCAAAGGGTCAAGGGTAGGGAAAACAGTCTTAAGGAAAAAGAATACCGCAGGACTCAGGCTACCTGCCACATAAAAACTTTGTTTTTTTCAACTACAGAAATCGAGACTATAGTATTGGCACAAGGATAGACAAATTGACAAATGGAAGAGACTAGAAACTCCAGAAATAGATGCTTGGATAAATGGACAGTCCAAATATGACCACAGCAGTCATGCAGTGAAGAAAAGATTTTTTTCATTAAGTGGTAATGGATCAACTGACTGTTCCATGAAGAAGTGAATCTTGTTCCCTACTTGATACCATGCAGAGAAGTATATTCCAGATGGAGTGTAGGGGAAACAATAAAACTTCTAGAAAAAAAATCATTAAAAAAATCTTCATGACCTTGGGGCAGGCAAAGATTTCTTTAAAACAAATAAAAAAAACCACAACCATAAAGAAAAGCTGATAAATTGGACTACATTAAAATAAATAACTTCTATTTATCAAAAGACACCGATAAGAGAGTGAAAAGGCAAAGCACAGACTGGGAGAAGGTATTTGCAATACATAGCTGACGAGGACTAGGACCCTGAACATATTATATAAAGAATGAGTCAATAAGAAAAAGTCAGACAGTCCAATAGAAAAAAACAGTAGGTCAGGCTCCTGAACTTTACAAAAGAGAATATCCAAATGGCCAATAAACATGAAAATATGCTTAACTTCATTAGCCAGCAAGGATATACAATTAAAACCACAACGATTCTTTATCTGCCAGAATGTCTAAAATTAAAAAGACAGGCAATACCGAGTGTAGATACGGATGTAGAGCAACTGGAATTCTCATACACTACTGGTAGTCACAGAATTCTTTAAAAATTGATACATAATTAACAGACCATAAAATTCATCCTTTGAAAGTAAACAGTTCAGTGCTTTTTGTATATTCGCCAGGTTGTACAACCATCACCACTATATAATTCAAGAACATTTTCATCACTCCCAAAAAAGAAGCTCCATACCCCAATTTCTCCCCGTCTCTAGTCCATGGCAACCTTTCCTTTTTCTCTATGGATTTGCCAGTTCTGGGCATTTCGCGTAAATGCAATGATACAATGTGTGGCCTCTGGTGACTGGCTTCTTCTGTGTAACATCTTTTCAAGGTTCATCCATGTTGCAGCCTGTATCTGTACTTCATTTATTATGGTTTAGCAATATTCTGTTGTCTGGATATAGCACACTTTGTTTACCCACTTGTCTGTTGATGGACATTTGGGTTGTTTCCACTTTAGCACAGTTATGAATAACGCTGCTATGAACATTCATACACAAGTTTTTGTATGGACATGTGCTTCCACTTCTCTTGGGCATATACCTAGGAGTGAAATTGCTGGGTCATACGGTAGCTCTATGTTTAACTTTTTGAACAACTGCCAGACTGTTTTCCAAAGCACCGCACCATTTGACATTCCCACCAGCAGTGTGTGAGGGCTCCAGTTTCTCCACATCCTCGGCAACACTTGTTATCATCTGTCTTTTGGATTCTAGCCGTCCTAGGGGTGTGAAGTCCTGTCTCATTGTGGTTTTGATTTGCACTTCCCTGATGGCTAATGATGCTGAGCATCTTTTCACATGCTCGCTGGCCATTGACATCTTTGGAGAAATGTCTATTTAAATTCTTTGCCGATTTTAAAATTGGGTTACTTTTTGGTACAGTTGCAAGTGTTCTTAATAATTTCTGGATACTAGACTCTTACAGGGTCGCTATGAGTTGGAACCAACTCGACAGCACCAAACAACAGACTCTTATCAGATAGATGGTTTGCAAATATTTTCTCCCAGGAATGGGAATTCTTACCGCCACTTTGGAAAAACTGGCATTATCTACTAAAGCTGAATATACACATGCCCTACGGATCCAGCAGTCTACTCCCAGGTACCCAACAGAAACGAGAACACTTTCCACAAGGGATGTTTATAAAAGTGACCAGAGTGGCACTATTCATCATAGCAACCAAAGGGCGGACACAATCCCAACATCCTGCGGTAGGCTGAAGTGACCCCCAGAGACATCCACCTCCTCATGCCCAGAGGCCCTGAACGTTACTTTACTTGGCAAAGGGACTTTGTAGATGTGATTAAGGACCTTGCGGTGAAAGTATTATGGATTATCTGGGTTGGCCCAAGGTAACCACATGGGTCCTTATAAGATGGAGGCAGAAGGGTCAGAGTGAGAAGCAACGTGATGGAAGCAGAGAGCTGAAGGTCCTGTGCTGCTGAAGACGTAGGGGCCACAAGCCAATGAATGCAGGCGTCCTCTAGGAGCTGGAAAAGAAGGAAATGGCTTCCCTCTGGGGGCCTCCAGGAAAAGGCTGCCTGCAGACACCTTGACTTTAGCCCAGTGAGACTGATTTTGGACTTCTGAATGGTAAGGTAATAAATTTATAGTTTTAAATCACTATATCTGCGATTTGTTACAGGAGCAGTAGGAAATATACAACCATCAATAGCATAAAGGGTAATTTATATTTGCACAATGGAATATTATGCTACAATAAGAGTGAATAACGATAGCTACATGTAACGAATTCTAAGATTCTATTTATATAAAGCATAAAAACAGGCAAACTCTATGGAGTTGGAAGTTAGGACAGTGGTGACTTTGTGGGCGGGGGTACTGACAGGGTCCATGGGAAGCTTCTGAAGTGCTGGACATGTTTTCTTTCTTGATCTGGTTGCTGGTTATACATGGTCACTGTGTGATATTTCAAACCGCACACTTGTATATTTTATACTTCAATAAAGTTTACTTAAAAACAACAACAAAAAATTTGTTTAGAGACAAACTCCTTTCCTTGCAAAAACTGGTACAAAAATAGATTTAAAGTTTAAACATGGTAACTGCAAAGTTTTAGTTAAAAGTGAATCCCACACTGACGTGAACAATTACAATAATTTCAGGGAACAACTAGAGTATTTCCTAGGATTTTCTAGTACATCTCCAATGTCACACACGAAAAATGAGCTGGTCTATGCATGCAAACACAGTCGCAGATATTTCAAAGGACACCAGGATGCACAGTCTGCTATTTTCTTTCACTGGTTCCAGTTGTTTCACTAAGTCCCAGTTTAGAAACACTGGTCTCCACGACACCACAGCTGCAGAAACTTTTCGGGACTAATGATTTTATCAGTGGCATTTTTAGCTTATCTATTTTATCAAATAAAATGTGTTCACAAATTAATATTTTCATGCTCATAAACACCCCAAGTTTCTTCTACATGGAAACAAATGAATACCTTCTCGTGTATTTTCAGCATTTATATCCAACAATAAGGAATCAAATACCATTGTGAAACTAAACAGGTTTTAAAGTTCTAATGAAAGGATGATGCTAGATAGTAGAGAGAGTTCTCTTTTTGAAAAAATTTTTAGAATATATAAACAACAAAAACCAACTCAGAGGGTAGGGCACCAATTTTTTTCCAGTTGTCTGAAACGACTCAACAGGCCAAACGCAGGCGTGTTTTTTTGTTGAACGTCAATAAAATGATCAAACTGTTCTTAAGAAGGTTCTGAAACAAGTACTGAAAACAGTTTTGAAACAGTAAAACTGGTGACCGGAATCCTACCTGTGAGAGAGTGGCTATGTGTCGGTGCGTTAGCCAGGCTTTTAGCATTGCTTCTTCCCTTTAAATAACGATGAAAGACCATCTTGTAACCCACTAGAAAGGCTGATGTGGTAAGACTCTGCAGTTCGAGACATGCTGGGGCAGATGTGTTGATCAAAGCAAACTCCCAAATTAAGTGAACCTCATGTACTCACTTGTCTCTTAGAAAGGAGGAGGAAGACCGGAATGCTTAATAATCCTATTAAAGTAAAAAACTTCAAAATACTAACATATCAATCACTAGCTGATAAATACAAATATAAAGAGAATGCAACAAATTATTTGACCCTGAATGCAGAGAATAAATACTTTATTAACTGATTAAAGTCACGAACAGAAGGGCATAGTAAGGCAGAGCCATATACATACACACACGTGTCTATATACATAGACAACTGCAAAGACTGTTACTCTTGACACTGTGAAAACCTCTGCACGTTCCTTTTACACATGCAGGCAGTGTGCTTTCTTTCCTTCTCAGTTAAAGAAACAGATCGCGGCCAACAGTTCTAAGTCATACTTTGATGACAACTTACAGGATCATGGATCGAGACAATGGCTAGTGTATCGAACGCCGACTTTTCTCAGCACGCTCCACGTGTGGGGGCGCATCCTATCTGCATCCTTTCACGTTGGTGTGCAAAAATCTGACGACTGGTCATTTTCTTTTTTCCCAGTAAAATACATACTTTTTAAAATGGTTTTAATAGTCTTAATTAAAATAAGCTTGGAGTTCCAAGTTAGTTAAATGCCCAAATTGCATATTATTTTCTGCCCTGCCCTAAACCTTCCTACATCTTTTAAATAGCCTTTAGAATATGATCTCATGGCTGCATTTCAGTTCTATAAATTTTGAGTTTTTCAAAATTCCAAAATTACTTCCGTATGCAAAATGACAATGCAAATAGCAATCCTACATCATGTAGAATAACTCTTCTTCTGTATGGCTCCCTTTTATAAAAATGAGCAACCACAAAACAAACAAAACCAGACATGAATTTAGTCCACCCCAACAAGCACGCCAGCGCCCGACTTCCACTTCTGAAGGAAAAGGCAGAGGCAAGTTGACGTCATCCCAGAAAGTTGAATAAATGGCTTTATTTGGTATCTTCAAGAAGCTTCTCCTTCCGTAGGGGATGTAGATGTTGGAGGACACACTGTAACTGGCTTTCGTGCAATTCTGTCAAGTTCTGCGTGAACATCTGATAGGATAGGTTTCTGGCCTACATTGACGGAAAAGAAAATCAGCAAGGTTTAGATAGAATTCAAAGGATCTTTTTCACCAACGTCTCTTTACTTAAAAATTGTAAATGGTTTCATTAACTTTATCTAGCATACTAAATTATATAAACATCCTTAATTTAAAAATAAATTTTCTTATTTTAGTTAAATTATGGGGTCTGTTACCAAACGGAGGTAAACCCAGCAGCTATCATTTCATCTCAGATGAACTCCGATCAGCAATTTTCAACTCGAGGGGCAGCCCCCAGCTGAGAATCCTGCCCAGAAGAGAAGAATGTTTCTTTTTTTCATAAATAATATTTTATTGTGTCTTCAGTGAAGGTCTGCACAGCAGTTTAGGTTCCCATTCAACAATGTCTACACAAATTGTTCAGTGACATGTTAAGATTCTTCACAGTGTGTGAACATTTTTACTATTTCCATTCTAGTTATTTCATTTCCATTAATCTAGTTTCCCTGTCCCCTTGCATTCTCATCTTTGTTTTAAAAGTAATTATTGACCATTTGGTCTCATATAGATGATTTTTTTTTAAGGAGCAGAGTACTCATGGGTGATATTCTTTATTCTCTGAACCAGTCTGTTATCTAGCTAACAGGTGACCTCAGGGGCTAATTTCGGTTCAAGATATAAAGAGTATCTCAGGACAATTGTCTTGGGGTGTCCTCCAGTCTCCATGAGTCCAGTAAATTGTTTTCATTTTGTTTTTTCAGGAATCTGAAGTTCTGTTTCACATTTTTTCTCCCATTCTATCAGGGTCCATCTACTGTGGCCCTGATCAGAACGGTGGGTAGTAGCAGACGAGCACCATCTGGTTCTCTTATTATTTTATGGTATTTTTGTTGAAAGTTTACACCGCAAACTAGGTTCCCATTTAACAATTTCTATACATATTGTTCAGTGGCACTGGTTACATTTTTCACAATGTGTCAGCACTCTCATTATTTCCATTCTGGTTGTTCCGTTTCCATTAATCTAGCTTCCCTGTTCCCCTTGCTTACCTTCTCAGCTTTGCTTTAGGGTAAACACTGACCATTTGGTCTCATATAGTTATTTAAAAGACCACAGTACTCATGGGTGATATTCTTTATTTTATGAGCCCATCTATTATTTGGCTGAAAGGTGACCCCAACCAGTCTCACTCCAGAGTCTGCACCCTAACAATTACCAGTCCTGCTTCACTGCCTGCTTAAAAGTAACTAAGCACCAACAGTGTGCAAGTAAAGGAGTCCTGGTGGCACAGTGGCTAAGTGCTCGGCTGCTAACCGAAACGTCAGCAGTTCAAACTCAACAGCTGCTCCGTGGGAGAAGGATGTGGCAGTCTGCTTCTGTAAAGATTACAGCCTTTGAAACCCTATGGGGCAGTTCCACTCTGTCCTACAGGGTCGCTATGAGTTGGCATCGACTCAACGGCAGTGGGGTTTGAGTGCTCAAGTAACGACCACATAATGACAGATCTTCAATACAAGCTGCTTCATAAGGTTCCATATTTCACCCTTCTATCCAAAAATGGTAATCACTTCTAAAACGAATTAAGATCAAGGACTTAGGTTTTGTCTTGTCCAACAGAGAAAGAACCATCATTTCTTCACAGACTAACACTTTCTCCTAAAGGAAGCAATACTGACCACGACGCCAGCAGCTCAAAGAGAGCCTGTTTACCTAGATCCCTTGAGACCCGCCTGGTGCTCTGCCAACACTGGGCATACATGGCTGGAGGGTGCTGAGAGATTCACAAAGCCCAAGGGGCCTTAGATCAGACCGGTGTATCTAAGCCTGCTTGCTCGATCAATCTGTTCTATTAACAGAGCTCTGGGCTACAGAACGTTTAAGAAGGCTGGAAGGGATTTTGATAGACTCCTTGAATAAAAATGGAGCTGTAACAGACATAATTTTTAGCGTGAATCAAAAGTAACTTCAATGTAAGTAACTGTGATAAGCATATCAGAGAGAAAAATCACAGACCAAGGAATTTTGACCTTGTCAATACTTACTGTAGATAAATGATAATTCTAAGTAAAGCATACTTCAAAACCAAAAATAAGAAGTACGTAATTTATCCCTCTAGTTTTAGTTCACTTTCTGGATGAACCAAAACTATGCTGATTATTCTGCTTAGAATACTAGATTTCACTATTTTCTTTTCTAATTAAATGCACTGCTTAGTAGACTTCATTATTAAGATTTTTCCCTTTAACTTACATCACTTGGATCGAACGTTTAGTTTCATTCTTCCGATTCTACACTCACAGAAAAAAAAAAACAACTAAGCAGCATTAAAAAAAAATTTTTCTCCAAGAAGACAATTGTGGTTTTTTTTTTCCCATTTTAAAACATTGCCAACACTTTCGTGTTTCCATGTAAGATATTTTCAAATTTAACAGAGGACTCACACTGTTGACTGTCACCTCCAGATTACCCATACGACCTCACAGTGGATAGTCTTCAAACATTAAATACTAAGAAGCTGCTGAAAGTTGGCCCTATAACGTGAGAAAGACAGAAGGACCATAACATCTGATTTAAGTGGCTGCTGGAACTGGACTAAACCAAAGCTAAAAAGTTTCCTGAATACAATCAAACACTTTGAGGGGCAGAGTAGCAGGGGCAGGGCTCTGGGGACCATGCTTTCAGGGGACATCTAGGTC